TAGATCCAGGCTATCTTTGACCAGCCAGAGGAAACTAGATAATTTCTTTGGAGGCAGGCCCACTGATTTGATGTGCCAGGACAGCACTCTGCTGATTCAGTTGAATATAGTCCTGACATAGGGCAGGAAGGCAACTTAGTCTGGTTTATCGTCAGGCCGACTGATGCTTGGACGACGGTTGAGAATTCTGTGGATCTACCCCGAAGATGGAGGCGATACCTTCCTCCGAAACGTCGGTTAACACAATATATACACACGCCACATCCCAGAAGCCTTCTTTCTTGAAGGTTTTTAACAGCCTCCCTCCTAGCATAAAGAACATAGCTCATGATATTAAACAATTTAAATTTGCTTTAAAATGATTTCTACTCCTAAATTCATTATACTCACTGGAGGAATATTTTAACTACTATATTGATTAAAGATCCTGGTCCATTACATGCTTAATGAATGGCAGTATATTTCATACTTGATTATTGCAGTGTTGTTCATTGATAGTTTCACGCATGCTTGAAGTCACACACACATTGCACATCAGTTGTCTGAAAAATATGTGTTTGTCTAATTGTACCCAGGCAAGCCACATAATCTGTTTTGTTACACTGTTTATTTTACCAACCAAGTAAGGCTCGACGAGTGTAAATGAAGAAAGGAATGAATGAATAAATAAATAATAGCCAATGAGAAAAAATAATTGTATATTAGTAATTAATTTATACTCATTGGAAGAATATATTTTTATCTATGTTATCATCCGGCTTGCCATCTTTGACTGTATTTTACTGTATTCACAAGTCTCCCTTATGGGGATCTTTGGATCTATGAATGTATGAATGGAGATTGCTTGCTTGCTTTTACTTTTATTTAAATATTATACAACCTTTAATGATGTACTTATTGACAGTTTTTGACAAAAGGCTCAAATTGTGAGGCACAGGTATAATTAACTTGTATCTACATAATTTATAAACTTATTACTTATTAGCAATGTACTCATCAACATTATCCCTGTTAAGAGGCTCAAATTGGATGCATAAGTACATTTAACTTATATTTATGTAATTTGTAATATTATTTTTTTAGACTGTTATTGTACAGATGTTATTGTATTTATATTGTATTTGACTTGTTCCATATCCTATGGTGTCTACCTGTATCTGGATTTATGGAACATAAATAAATTTAACAATTGAAGAATTAAGGACATTATTACTTTTCTCAAGAAGCTGTGGAAAGCACTAACAGCAACTTGTAGTTGATTTATTTGGGACAACGGGAAGATACGTGAAGAAGGAAAGGATGTGACCATCATATGATTATACTAGAGTTCTTCATGATTTTAAGTTGCCAAAAGCTGGATCTCGGCTTGTACTGTCTTTGCTCGCTTGGAAACCGGGATCATGGGTTCGAATCCCACTCAGGGCATGGATATTTAGTTTGCGTGAGTGTGCTTTTCTGTGTTTGTGTGCAGGTAGAGGCCTTGCGACAAGCTGATCACCAGCCCAAGGAGTCCTACTGAATGTGTAAGATCTAGAAAAACCGAAGTGAACGGAGAAGTTCATGGAGGTAGGGCTAGGCCCACTGGGGCTGTAGTGCCAAGGGGGAAAAAGAAGCTGGATCTCAAAGTTTCTCATTGTTACCATGTTTGTAACTATAACTTACAAACAGCATTTCAAATGTAACTGGTAATTATGTTTATCACCTACCTCCATAAAATATTTTACATGCCCAGCTCCAGTTAGTTCATTAATCATTGCCATGGAGTTGGAAATCAAAACTTTTACATGGCTGCTGTGATATTATTTTACATTCTACAAAAGCTGCATAATAAAAGGTCTTTTTCCAAGGTCTATTACCATACATCACATTATGCTGTTATGTTGCTCCCACAACACAGGTCTGCATTGCTGTTATGTTGGTATTGTTAATCATAGGAGATTAAGAAGCATGACATTAAGATAACAGTTTTGTGAAATTCTATGTATTTGTTCCAAAGGGGGACTCAAAGGCAGATAGCATGGTGATATCATAAGCTTAGTCTCTCTCATTAATAAAGGAAAGTAGGCTAAAAAGTAGCAGCCCAAAATCCATAAATATTTATATCTAAATTATATAAATGAAAATCATTAATATCAACGAATCCCACATTGGTTCATCCCATCGTCTCGTCAGAGAGGGCGCCCCACAAAAACCAGACCGTAACTGTTAAAGGTAATAAGACTTACTGACTGACTGATCGTCAGTCGCAATGTGACTTGGACTTGGACAGTTACAGTTCACTATTGTTATTATCCCTCTGTGTATACTGTGCAGCTGCAATGAATCCTATAGGACAGTTCAACTAGTGGTTGTCTCTTCATATGACATTTCACATTGGTGACCCCGACGTGATTGGAAGTGCACATGATGGTGAAAAGTGAGCTGAATAGCGAGCATTGCAGAAATGCGTGATAATATGTGGGATGTTCCCACAATATATATTCACTAAAATGCATCAGTCACAATAAGAAGTTCAGAGCTCTGCTATGGTTTGCAACTTGTAAATGTGACAATGTGTGAAATAACTAACGTCTACCAAGTGGTTTTGTTTGGCTTATGCAATATGTGATGGCATGCATTCAGAAATAATACAGTCAACTCTCGATTATCCGGGAAAATGGTCGGGATGGAAATCACGATTAATTGAAAACCCGGTTAAGACAAATTTTATTAAAAGTAGTACTGTAATACTGTACCTTCATAATACTATAGGCCTACCTGTATTTAAATTTATTCAACCTCATTTTTATGTCATCTCATGGCCTATTTAATGCTTTTTTTTTACATTACACTGAAGTATGAATTAGTTATTTCAATCACAGTCTTCAACAACATCCAACATATTTATGAATATTCACACTTAACACTTAAAAAAAATTTAATATTGTCGTTTACTTTTTTGCGGCATTTTCCTTTTTCTGTTGAATACTTAATACAACACGCTTCCTTTTACACCCTGACATTTTGCTAACGCACATGAAGATCAATACAAAGATACTAACTGGGACGCTGTATATGTCCTTCAGACTTTCCACAAATCTTTGCGTTCTTTCACCCTTACCCTAGAACATTGTGTTAGCACAACGGGACCAAAGAATGCAGAGCTCGGTTCACACTAGTGCGAAAATAGTGTTACAACTCGCCATGTGAAACAAAAGTAAATGAATATTAAACAACATATAAGCCTAAAAAAGCCTCAGTAGCACCGGTTAAGCCACAAACCGGTTAATCTGCCCCCGGATAATCAAGAGTTGATTGTATTTCATTCTTGTGGGTGGGTTCACGAACATGAATGATTCCACTTGATCAAATGTGCATTTGTTTGCAGTGCCAGTTGTACACGTACAAAATGATACTAATATTGTGTAGTAAAATACACTTTTACTATTTCTTTCCTAGGACTTGACAAACTAGGGAAGGGTTGATTGAATGAAGCAAGAATCTTAATCGTTTCCACATGCATCTTTAGTAACATTAAATGCACATACACTATTCAAATGGGTTACTAAAAGTTTAACAATTTAAGTAATTTCTTTTCATAGATGTTTGCATGCTCTCAGTCAATATGAAAAGCTGCAGCACTCAGTGGTTATGGAAGGAATTTTAATATTTCCTGTCCTTATCTTAAGAGTGAAACTAAAGGGATCCACATTAGACCAGTTTGTGTGCATTACTTTTGTCTGATGCTGCATATAGGTGCAAATAACCATGGAAGTTGATGTAGCTATAAAACATACGAGTGTGTATTCACCCCCCCCAAACACACACACATACACCATCTCTCTTTTCTGTTCTTAGTTATCATGTTTACTTTTTGCCTTCTCTCCTTTCCTTCTTTTGCTTGAAACCAACATTTTCTTTTTCCATTTTGATGATTTTCTCTGCATTGTGGACCCATGGAAAGAGTCAACACTCCAGATAAAATAGGAATCCTTTGCTTGATATTTAAGAGAGACAAACTAGGTCAGAGATCAAAGAAAGGAATATAAGTTTTGATGTCTAGCCACTTACAATAGTCTGTAACTGACTGGTTTCATAAGTTACTAATGTTGGGAAAATAAAACACAGAGATTAAATTCCATTACCACAATAGCAGAGTATCATCAGTGGATGACTTCTTTACTCAAGACACTTACTTAGAACAAATTTACTTATTACTCCATATTATCAAGAGTAGATTGAAAATATGCTATTAATTAAATAAATAAAAAAGTTATTTTCTTGGATGGCTGCATTCTAACAGAGTTCAACACTCAAGTTCTCAGCTTCTTTGTTTGAAAGTCCATCACTAATTGTCTTGTGTCTGCGTGTGTGCGTGAGTGTACATGCTTGTGAATGTGTGTGCTTGCATGCTCCACTTGTTCTGGATCTTGACTGTTATGCTATAAATAGACACTATACATTCTTCCTCTTTGAAAAATTTCTTCCATAATAAGCCATTGCTGCAACTGAGCTTGTAACTGATAAACAATATTGCCATGGAAATCTCAAAAACTGATCCTTCTATTAGAAATGTCTGAAATTCGGTCATTATTAGCATTGTCACTGACTCTGGTGGGAAGATTCATAAAATGATGAGATTTAAATTCCTATTTCTGATAAGTTGAACATGGTAAGCAATGTGTTACACTGAAAATTGTTAAACCCAATACTATATGAGGTGTGAATCCGTTACATTCCCATTCTTTATAAGAGAGTAACAAGGCTAACATAATGTTATACTCTGTTCTCAAGAATGATCTACTGCTCAGAGTTACAAAGTGTACTGTGAAGTTACCGATTGTGAGTAGCCAACAGCCCCTGTATATTGATGCAAACCAACGAAACAAGTATGTAACAGGACAATAATTGATTCCTATTGCTTGAGACAAAACTTTCCTTTATTGGACGTGACATACACCATGTCAATATGTGACTTTCAGCCAGCTATACCACTGTGCTGTAGGGTGGTTTAGACTTACAGAAAACATGCTCTGCACAGTGGTGCTGGTGGTGCTGACTGTTGGAACAGTGGGCACATATACAGGGGCGGTGGTGCCCCGCAGACCATGGCCTGTTGCTCGCAGCAGCTCACTCCTGTACCGTGAGCTGAACCGGGGAATGCTGGCTAGTGAAGACTGTGAGGTCACCACAGACACCTGTAAACATGCCCATCATGTTGCAATGGATTTTAATGAAATTTGGTACCAAGTGTTACACTAGTTGTTTGCCAGGTTCTGTTTTAGTGTTCTTGCTATTTACAGTTTTATTCAGCAAATTAATACCACCATAGACCAGAAGCTGATATGGCCTAATCAATTCCATATCCTTTTGAGCTCCTTTGACCTTACTAATGACATATTATGAAGGAAGACTGAGAAGCTAAACTGAACTAAGAAATTTTATAATGTTTCAATTACTTAGTGGTAATCTTATCTTTCTTAAAGCTGGATTCTGGGTCTAACATTTCAGTAGCATATATCCAAGGTACTCTAAATTCAGCAGTTACATGAATATTCAGTGGTTTGCTAAAGGAACTTTTCCATTTGTCTGCAGTACTAGAAGGAATTCACATGTAAATCATCATTGTCATGTACCAAATTTTTTAGTTTAATTTCCCTTTTTAAGCAATTTGTTTATGACTTTATGTAATTATTCTTGTTTCTAGTGTGTGTGCATCCATTTTGCTGACTTGTCCTTTTAGACAATCCATCCATTTATTGCTCAGAGTGTGGCTATTTTCATGTTTTAGATTAGTGTATGTAACTCCATTCATTTAGTTATGACCATGCAGCCATTGACATTCCAGACTCTACCTCATTTTAGTAATTCAGGGTACTAATCATCAAACTGTGGTTTGACCAGAGAATTATGTGGCATACTAAACTATCTTCAGCTGAAATTTTTATGTTAATATGGATATTCTCACTGTTTTGTGTAAATTCTTCTGGCTTCTCCAAAATTGCATACTATTCAAAATTTTCATTTGGGACACTTATATAACTTGTGCATTTGTTGATATAAGTTTCTCCACCATGGATATTTGCTCCATCTATTTTGTTCGCACACAGAGAATTTTTATATAAAAAGAGATATAAACCCCATTCAGACTTCAAAATTTTATTTGAAACATTTTTCAGTATTGTTTATATTTAATGTTTATGTAATGTTTATTCAGGTCTATGTAGTATTAGGTAAAGTAGCCCATGTACTTAATTAACTAAGCACTACGCCATAAAGACATATAGGGGAAGTGGATGTATAGATTCACGTATTCTTGACTTTGGCACTACTTGAAGGTGAATGGTCAGCTTCACGCCCCGGCCGTTTTACCCCCTGATAAATAGCCCCAGATTCGGTCTGGATGACGTTAAGAAGAGAAAAATCTTGACACTGAACTCCAGTTACCCTTGCCTGCAGACATTCACTTTACTCAATGATTTACTCCAAGTAATTTGAAAAAAATATAATTTTAATTGGAGCACATATTTATGATTCTCTTTAATTTAATGCTCTACTTTTCTATTTGAAATATGATAATATCACTGCTTGATACTAACAGAATTAGTGGTGGGCGCTATCCAATTGTCACCCATGGCATGCTCCACACTCCTCCTGAAGCTAGATGTTGACCGTGGTGCTGGTCTCTTTCGAGTGTTTCCTCCAATTCCAGTATTGGAGGTAGTTACCAGACTGTCTGTCGATTTCCGAACTGTTGGAAGAAATAAGGATGGAGGTCGAGGTTTCATGGTTGAAGATATGGAGGATGGGGAAATTTTTTCAGGCATGTAGGTGAGATGATGTTTGAATTCACTTCTACCTGTGTGTGAAACAATTGGGTTTGGAGCAGACACTGTTGATGATGAAGTTGGGACTCGTTGGTGCATCTCTGCAGTTGGAAGAGGTGGTGTCTCCTTCTGTAGGACAAGTAGAGTGGATATTTGATACTTGAAAGATGGATAGTTCTGTTTAGAAACTAGTAGAAGCCAAGTTCCTTCTTGGAAACTGTATTAGTGGGCTGCATATCTGTCAGATGATACAATTTTACTATCAATAGTACAGACAAAAAACAGCTGATTTCTATGAGACTTGATAGGAACATCATACTATTTTTCATCTCATTTTCTCAGTACTTTTCAACTTATGCAGCCAACAATACAATCGTGGTGACCATATAAAGTTGGGAAGTGGAGGAACAACACCAGTAATATCTTGAAATTTTGAATAGTTCTAGACGTTTGGAAAGTAAGAGATTTTTATTTATATAATCTTTCAGAATTGAAGAAATGTGATAAAATGATTACATCATAAAATATTCATAATTTAATGGCACTAACCAACAAAACTCTGTTATTTATGTTAGATTTGAGGTTATCATGGCAGTGAGTATGAAGAGTACAGTCTTCTGGATTATACCGCCATGTAGCTTTTTTAAAACTGTATGGTGTTACAAGCCAGAAAACCATACTCTTTACTGCAGTTTGGTATGTCGAATTTTCTGTCATATATGACAGTTTCTTTATTAGAATTATCACCAAAAACACTTTTTCATTTCAATCTTAAGGCTTCCATCTTCGGGTGGTCTGAAATATCTGAGGCTCAAGATGTCTGTCTGCAGAGAGGAAAAATTGATGATGAACTCAAAATTTAATTAAGATTCCAGACCTGATACTTTTCATCACAGGACTTTCCTCTTGAAGCAGTGGATGGCAGCTTGTTGAGCTTGTTTTCATCACTGTCAACAGAACATTTCCTGGAGCTGTACCTAGTGAAGGGTGGCACAGTGGTGGTCACATTGTGGCCTTCACTGTTACTGTTGTCATCAGATCGAGTGCTGCTGAACTTACTGTCTCTCAGGCGACTGTAAACCCCCACCACTTGCATTTGGCGATGTTGGGCAATGTTCTCTGTTTTGCTTGGTGGAGGTGTTGGTGCCAGCTGTAATATCAATGCGAGGATACTAATATATTCTGTCACTATGTTCAACAGGTAAGTTTGAAATGATATTTTTTAAAACACCTTGGAAGACTGAAATTTCATAGGATGTTTTATACCTTTCACGAACTTCTGATTTATAAAACATTATAAGAGCTCTCTAGTGCCATAAGCTGTGAGAACAAATACCAGGATTTTGGATCATGTGTGTATAACACAGTGTATACAACTTCATGGCCATGGCCTGGATATTAGCTCTTAAAATATGGTGGAATTTATTTCCTTCCATTCATTACTTCTTAAGCTTTCTATATTTATTATACTGAGCACTCATACATTACAGGTAATTATGCTTTGATCAGAATTGTTTGCAGCAATTAAAATAATGTTTTTATTATGATTTCTCCATTTCCATATATTCACAGTTCTCAACTCAGTCACACCAGCAGGGAACAGGAAACCATTTCACCAAACCAGCCCAATTGGCTCACCAACCAGCCATTTTTGTTAATGTGGTTGTGATTTTTGTTTGGGGCTCCATTAAGCTGAAATTGTTCTGTGAATAGGAGCATGGGAAGCCAAGAGCCAGGTTATGAAGCATTATACGGTTAATGGCACGATGGTTAAGAATAGTGTGCTGGGAGAGATATGTTAGAAAGCGATTCTTTTTATTTCAAGGTGCTATGCACATATTAGTACAATCTAAAAAAAAACACTTCTCAGCTAATCTCATAATTAATGCGATAGAATGTTTGCAGCTTGGTCACACTCACCAAGAGGCTGGCAATTCTTGGTTTGATCTTGCTAACATCTGTAGTGCCATTAGACCTCCTGAAGACTATCTTGGAATCTACCATAATATTATCAGCAGTATTTGTTCTGCCTTTAGAAGTGTTACTGCCAACTTTTGGAAGTTTCTGGAAACCAGCAGCTCATTATAGAAACTAGAAGTATGATACTTCACTATTAAAGGAATCTTCTTAAAATGGAAGTGGGCAATTATTACGACCTGGGGGCTCAAGGAATCTACTTAAAATTGACCACAGAACAAAGAACCTTGTAAGAAAATTTACGTCATTCAATAATTGTTAAATAGCTACCAGTTATTTGCACTAACTGAACATATTTTTTAGATATACCAGAATAACATTAATACTTTATAATCAGTATGTAAGTGCTACACATGGTATCGTAGTTGGCTGAGGCACTAGGCTACAAACCGGAAGGTCACAGGTTTGAGTCTCAATGAGGTGCATTTTTTCAATTTACCTAATCCTTCTAGCTGCATTATGGCCCTGGGGTCGACTCAGCTTCTAAAAGAAATGAGTACCTGGAATTTCCTGGGGAGTAAAGCGTGGCCAGCATGTAAGGCTGACAATCTTACCGCCACCTGTGAGCCGATTATCCGGAAAATGTGGGAGCCTCAACATCTCACAACCCTATGGGCTTTCACTGCCTGTTACAGAGATAGCTTTATCTTTACCTTACCTTATGTAAATATATATATATATAAATAAAAATTGCACGTTACAATAAAGTGGCAAAATTTACTTTAGTTGACATGGGATAAAAATATTTAATTTCTGGAGGGCAGCTCCTTTGAAACATAAATATAAAATAAAACCAACCTAATTAAATTTGAAAGAGGAGTGAATAACCATTAGGTTAAAATTCTGGAGAGAGCACATTAAATATTTTATACACCGTTACTTGCAGGGGCAGTGAACAGTTTACATCAATTTAATTGTTGTGATCCAAAAATATTTTAACATTACAAGGAAATTTAAAATGGGACATTAATTGAGTTATTCACCGTTACTAATTTACGACCTGTAAAAATTAGCTTTCATACTCTAATTTTGTATTTATTTATGGTTTATTTAATGGTGCTGCCAGTACCTTTTCTATTATTAGCATTGAATTTTAGGGTGATAAGTGAATAATGAATCGGAGAGGATATGGATGAGAGTCATTTGGCCCTGGTCGGATGTGCTATCCCACCATTTGCACTGGAGTGTCCATGAAAAGCAACAAAAGAATCTCAGTCAGGATAGTTGTGTCCTGGACAAGATGTGAATTTATTATCTCCTAGATGTGTGACAGAAATAACATCTCTCATTTTGAGCTAGACCAGGACAATGAATGAGATTTCCAGACTGTAATTTATGACATCAAGCAGTCTAGCAGGTTTCTAAGGAACAAACTATCTCCATCTCCATCACCCTCTATCCTGAAGATGGAGGCAGTATCTTCTTTTGAAACACTGAACCCATCTACCCAGCTGCAGAGTATCATATCCTAGAAGACTATACTACGAAGTTTCAGTGTTGTGAAATCCTGAAGTCTCACAGAATGAAAGTGTTTGAGAGCAAAGTGGTGACGATTCTATTTGTATAAGACATGATGAGACAAAGGAAAAGAGTATGTATATAATAATGAGCTTAACAGTTCACACTAGTAATAAAGGCCTATTGAAAATTCTGTGGGACATCTCTTACATACTTCCTTTATCTGTTACCCTCCTTTCTCCCATATTCCATTTCCACACTTTTATTCATCCTGGATGTCAATGTATGTACATGTTTTTTTAATTGTAGAAAAATAATATTGTAAATACGAAAAAGACCGGCTGATGATTAACGCCATCTCTTATGGATTGTGGGTAACTACGTCCTGTGTGAGTACATAACATACACACACAGTCAAATCATAAACAGTACTGTATTACACAGGAGAAGCAATCAGGTAAGATACTACAACTGGGGTACAACTGATANGGAGGGTGGAGGGGGGTTCTCAGTCGCGCAACATGTTACAATACTAAAATATAGCCATCATAGTTTTGAATTAGAGTGAGTTCCTGCTGTTGTAATCTATGGCCCTGGGGTCCACTCAGCCTCTAACAGAAATGAGTACCAGGAATCTTCTTGGGGGGGGGAGGGGTAAATCATAGCCAGTGCATAAGGCTGACAACCTTACTGCCATCTGCGAATCAACTGGCTAGAGAGAATGTGGGAGCATTGACATGTTACAACCTTATGTGTCTTAACGGTCTGTTACAGGGATAGCTGTTACCTTATTTTTCTGTTGCAATTATTAGCTGCCAGGAGAATTGTAATAAAAAGAAATTAAAATTTTCCTATGTTTTAACAGAACCAAATTTGTGAATAACTGCAATGACAGTATCAACAGAGCTGAGGGGTGGATTCACCTTCTAAACTACCCTCTTGTGCAAGGTGTAAAACGTTTGTATGAAGGGCAAAGGTCCAGTCAACCATTTGTGAGTGGGGATACATCTCAGAGTGTGCTTTAATTATTTGTTAGGCAACCACATAAATCAACAAGGTACGCAACAAGTACATAAAATTTACCATTGTAAGCCATTTCAAAAACTCCAAGGAAATATCTCTAGATGAAATGTTACAGATTTAAATTAATGAAAGCTGTCCAGCCAAATTATAAGGTGAAAAATTACACATTCCACTTTCATATTTTTGACAAGATATCTGCTGAGAAGACTTATCTTGGTTAAGTTAGTGTTCAGTGATAAGGTCAACTTCTATTTGTCAAGGACAGTTAACAAGCACAGTGTCATAATTTTCAGAACAGAATACTCACATAAAACACACTGTAGCATGTCAGAGGTAGTGCAACAATAAATATATTTTATGCATGGCCAATAACAAAGGTCTATGGGTTTTTCTTTTTACTGTATGAACAGATAGTTTTGACACATAACATGATATAGAACTGGTTACTGCTACAACTTCAAGAAGGAATAGGCAAGGATTTGGTTTTCTAGCAAAATAGTGTGCATTTACATTTTAACAATGATGTAAGAGACTTACTGGAAAAGATTTTGCCTGAAAAGTGGATTGGATTTAGTGTGTCAGTGGAGCGGCCCCCATAATCACTAGACTAACACCTTCATATCTTTTCCCTATGATTGCTATGTCAAGAAACGAGTCGCTGTGCCATCAATGCATGCCTGAACTCAAAACAGAAATTAGATATGCAGTTGTGTTCCATCAGTATTGAAATGCTGTAAAATTTGCTGACAGAACTGGTATACAGATTTGATATATGTACTTACCAATGGTGTAGATATAAAACACATCTACACAGAAGAAACTTCGAGATTTTAAGTTTAATGCCTGAGTGTTTGCATGTTATATCATGCGTAAATGCCTCACAATAAAACTCCAGAATTGAAAATATAATTTGTCTGAGCACATGTGTGTGTGTACATTTTTGAGATAGCATGAAGAAGAAAGAAATTGTATACAGAATGTTTCTACAAAACCTCATGGGAAGAGAAAACTTAGGGGATAATATTAAAATGGATCATGGGGCAGAAGAACGAGAACAGGTAACCTGGATTGTGTTTGGTGAATGTAGAGTCAAATTAGGGGCATGTGTGAACATAATAACCCTTAAGTTCAATTATAGCAAGTATATTCACATGCTAAATAACCAACGCTGCTCAGGGAAGACTCCAAATCATGACGTTAGAAAACATTGAGTGATATCATGGGCACTGTCTTGCTTGAGGGTCTTGTGCTGTCATTATAGTGACGCTACTGCAGCCTCTCACCTGATCCTCGCTGTAGGGATACACTGTCACTGTAACCACTCGGTGTGAGCTGCGAGTAATAAATGAGTCCTCCAGGTCTGCTCCCATTTCTTGTTCCTAGAACATTTTTATACTGTGTGTATAATCAGGATCTTGTACAATCCACACCAAAAAGTAGGATCTAAGGAGCAGACTGCTTCTCTTAAATCTTGTAGTATCTTAATGGCAAGATCATCTGCATATCATGCTGTACATTATTCTAATAAGGATCTGGGGACTGTATCGTGTTTGTGATGTAATGTTAATGTCTAGCTCTGCAAGATTGATAAGTGTGGAGGTTCTGCCAACGCAACATAATGTACAATTAAGTAATTACATTTGTTTTGACATAACTGGCCATTGTCAGACCAGTTCTACATCCATTGTTTATTTGAATGTTGTTACTACATATTGGTCAGTGGTTAAATTGGGATCTAGTGTTAATAATTACGTGATTTCACAACAGAATTATATTATTTTGTGGCATTCATTGGTTAAAAATTGTGAGTTAAAATTGAAATGTATTTCTGCATTTAAAGTTTGGCTAATTAATGTATTATGCTGGGCAACAGAATGTTCATCAGTGCTTGCATTGTGAATTAATGTGCTCATGTATCATCACATATATTATAATATATGTGATGATACATATGATATATGTGATATATATGTGATGATAATTATTTTGTGGTGCATATTACTTCTGTGAGGATTGCTGGAGTTGCTGCTTCTGGGTGTCTAAAATCTTCTCAGAAATGACTGCTGAATATGGTATGCAAAGGCATAAAATTCTGGTAGGTATTAGCATTGTGACTTCTTGTGTTATATATCAATGTTTGTATCTCGCTTTGATATGTTGTTCCTTCACTGGGTATTGTCCGTGTGGATTTCTTAGTTGTGTAGATTTCATGATAGTTTTCTTTATGTGTGATCTATGCCAGAATACACAATTTCCAAGTATGTTCTCTGTACATCATGCACTAATGGTCATAAATATGCATATAAACTAAATACATGTCAACTGTTTAATATATGCTTCAAAGCCATATTGTAGTCAAGCATTAAAATAAGATAACAAAACAAATTTATTTTAATGCAATAAAAAGTTAATACAGATTGTTGTTTTGTTTTTTGTCTCAAAGGTGATTGTGTTCTGGAGGTATTGTCAATCGTTGCCCTGGAAAGTTAAAAAATGGACACAAAGTATCACCTTTGCTTAATTGTCTCAAATACTGCAAGACTTATGAATATTTAGCCAGATGTGTCCGAAAATGCATGCTGGCCTTCATGTCAAGTCATTGTTAAACAAGTGTGATTTAAATGGCTTCACATTCTTTCATACAATTCTCCAGCATAAGATGTCATGAAATTCTGTCAAACAGTTCTCAAGTCTCATATGCATTAATTTCATACAAATCGTATAAGAAATATTTAGAAATAACCCATATGATGAACAGGCCCTTCTGCTAGTCTTTCATAAAGTAACAGGGAAACTGACTGAATGAAAAAGGATCTTCCAGCATTTTCATACTACATTCACTCTCTCTTCAGCTTGATTTTGGCATACATGCACTTAATGCAGTACACTGCTTACTTCAGGGTCCCTTATGTGCTTCACCATCTCTTGTTTCTGTAACTTTTTCACTTCCTCCTCTCTACTGGATTGACTCTGTGGAGTATTCTCAGGGCTCTCAGAGCTGGAAACAGACTGAAATCAGAAGAAAATGTAGTGAATAGTCAATAATTAATAAACATAGCTATGTTTGCAACTAAGCAATCATGCCAGGATTATATAAATAACTACTACAACAATTGAAATAATGCAATATTGTATACAGGACGGGCGATTATGTTTTGCTTCTTTGTCCCATGCTGCACTTGGCGCTACACTTCATCATTAGTACCATGAGCATTTTGGAAGGCTATAAAATACAAAGGAAAAGAGAATACCGTTATAACTTTGTGAACAGACTGACCACAAATTGGAACACTGAGGTGCATGAGCAGGAAATTTCCTTCTTATAAAGGAACCAGTAGAGGGTCTCTGGGGCCTAAGCCTATCCAGTCAAAATCAGGGTGAAGCAACCAAAATGTGAAGCAATTTGATTCCTAATCTAATGCATTTGATGCTGCGCATCACCCACCACCAAGCCCTTCATGGTTCTTATACATACAACAGGTAGTGTTTGCCCTAACTGCATGTTATGCTGCATATGTGTCATTGTAGAAATTAATAATCCAGTTATTATGAATAATAAGTGAAAATATACAAAATCGTCAAGAAGAAATTATTGGTCATTATTTGTAACTTCAGTCAATCACATTTAAAATAACATGGAGGGATATTAGGCCAACATCCACTTAAGAATATTGTGTCATCTCGCAAAACAAACAAACCAAGTTCTACAACAGAGCCTGGACATAATCCTGAGCCAGTTTCATCCACCTCCCATCCTGACACTCTCTCTTCCTGAGATAGTCAGATATTAATAAAATTAATTGTCTAGTACAGACCCTGGAATTTAATATTACTAGAACCTGTCAGTTCCATCTACTTCCCTCACACTCTATCTTTCTAAAATTCGTCTTATTAATTAACTAACCCTCTGGTAAAAGAACCAATATTTTCAACACTGCTAATACCAAAACCATGACCCTGAACTTTTCACATCCATTTCTCATCTTTAAAGTCTATTCCATTAAAAGCCATTTTAACATAATCCATCCTTCTCCTTTATTGTATTCAAAGTGATCATTTTTATTGTGCTGGGCATGTAGGTCATAGGAGGGAAATATAGCTGTTTGGTTGTCTGAGGGAACTAGCTCAGGATCATGTGTATGGGATGGCTTTGATAATAGCAGTGATTTCAGGAGATAACATTAAGTGGATAGGCCGGTCACGGTAGCCGAGCGGTCTAAGGCATGCACTGTCTTTGCTCGCTCGGAAGCCGGGATCGTGGGTTCGAATCCCACTCAGGGCATGGATGTTTGTGTGCGTTTTTCTGTGTTTGTCTACAGGTAGAGGCCTTGCGACGAGCTGATCACTCCCCCAAGGAGTCCTACTGTATGTGTAAGATCTAGAAAAACAGAAGTGAACGGAGTTCATGGAAGTAGGTCTAGGCCCACTGGGGCTGTAGTGCCAAGGTAAAAAAAAAATATTAAGTGGATATTAAGGAAACTTGAGATATGAACAAGATTCAACTTGTTCTGTGTATTTCCAACCTCGCTACCAAATAATTTATTTCTGTCTTGAAGATTATGCACTTAAATAATACCATAACTAATGTGTTTGTTACCTTGTGGAGTTCAAACTGATCTCTTCTGAAGTGGCTCCTCCTGCTACCATCTCTACTATTCAGAGGAGTCTGGGTCACATCTCTGTTTCTAGATGAGGTCTGGCGACCTAAGTTCCCAGTTGTAATTGGTGGCTTGCTCCTTGGCACCGCATCATCTGATAAGCCAACTCTACTTATACCAGATGTGATGGAGTTCCTGTGATGTGTCCTCTGATGTCTAACCTCCACACTTCTTTCTGTCTCTGCTGATTCTCTGGCCCTGTTTCGGGGCTGTCCTCTGCTTCTTGGTCCATTCACTGGGACATCTACTTCAGCAACCACATTCTTGCGCCTTACAGATATTGATGTAGATTGCCTTTCCCATTCCTTAGGAGGAAAATCTGTTGTAGTTGTTCTTCTAGTGAATCCCCTCCTTGGAATCTCAGATGGGAGATCATGTGACGAAGTCAACGTACCCTTAGGTACGTTTGGAAGTACGTCAATATAACTTGAAGGTTGCCTATGGGGCTGTTGTGAACTTGTAGAACTTACAGAGTCCAGTATGACGTTATTACCTCTATTCCTCTTTCCACTAACGTTTGTTTGGGATGAATCAATTTTCCTGCCACTTCTGTCTGAAGCATCTTTCCTTCTGATTTCAAGCAGGTCCCCTGTCTTAATGCTTACTAATTCTGGAACATCGGCAACTGGAAGTTCTTCCTTTACTTCTAGCTGTGTCGTTACCCCTGTTGTGGTGTTAGATATCTCAAGAGGTATCTCTGTTTCATCTGGTATCTTGACAGTTGATGAACCCTCTGTTAATGGTGGTGGTGATGATGTTTCAGTTCTGACGGGTTGTACCGAGGTACTATGCTGAACAGTAGCTGGTGTAATGCCACTGGACAGAGAGTCCTGCTGTCTACGACGCCCAGTAGATGCACCACGTCTGCCAGACCTCTTAGGAGTCTCTGTAGAGGTTGTTGAGTGTCTCCTCCCATTTCGGGATCTCCTTGAAAACTCTGTTGAGGTGTCGTCTGACCTATGGGAATTGGTTTGTGTCCTGTTCCGATTTTGTCCAATGTTCTTGTCAGCAGGAGTGTGTCTGGAGTTTGGGGTAATACCAAGATGTCGTCTAGGGCTCTCTGACTGGGGAGTAACCTCTCCTGGAGCAGAGTGTTCTTCCTGGAAGCTTCTGCGTGAAGAAACAAGTTGTTGTGCGACTGAAGTTAACACTGAGGATGCAGTCTCTGGTTCAGGAATCTGTAGACAGTGGGCAGTCTCATGATGCACGTGAAGTAATGACATTAAATTTTGCATGGGAAGCAGAGGAATGGCCATTGTTAACATCTGTTACTAGGAAACGTCTAGTGAAAACACTTCAAAGGAACAGCCATTGTTGAGACCTGTTACGAAGCAATGACTAGTGAAAACACTGCAGGCTGGAGAAGTCTTAGAGTGTATTTGTTTGAAAATGTGGAAATCAGCATGAGTGTTACAGTTATTTGTTTTTACAACCTCTAAGGTGTCAATAAATCTAATTAGCTAAAACCCCATCTGTAGTCACAGATCTAAGTGACATTATTATTAATCTAAAATGTATGTAATACTGGTTTTTCACTTCTAGAAGAGTGTGACAAAAGAATAAGAAAAAATACATAGGAGATCGTTTTGGTGTGGTGTTTTTTAAATCAAAATACACGTATTATACAGATCTCACAGATTTTCATATAAATGTACCCTGTCTAGATATAGGCATACTGAATACTGAATTTTCGTCATGGAGTGAGGAGCAACTTTATGCTGTAATTTGGAGAGCTTCTATGTTTTTTGTAAGACTACTCTATGACGAAAGTGATCTTAAATGTAATTTAGAGATCTTTTGTTAAATGTGAAGTACATATTCCCAGTTTATTTAATCGTGATTGCCACAGTGACACTGCTAATGCTTTTATAGCTTTATCTCCAGGGTTAAGAGAACATCCTCAGTTACCATGACATTGCACAACTACAGGCTGCAGCTGGAGAAAAAGGCCTTCAGGTATGGAGGACTGCCGGAGATGTATTAAGTAAGTAGTAATGTACAGGTAACAGGGGGTAGCACTATAACTTTGGAGTTGAGAAGGAGGCTGACAACTCCTCACAGTAAACAGCTGATGTTATAAAAGAATCAAGAACTTGATACATTCTGGGAAACGAACTACGTAACAGATTTATATGTAAGAAGTAGACTGGATCAGAATACATTCCAGTGGTGAGCTCTTATGAACACTGTTGCATAAGGTATGGAACTTATTGACCAACTGAATGACTTTCAGCTTCTGAAGAATGGCTACCATGGTAACTGTACTGGAAACAAACCAAAGGATAAAAGTACAGACATAGCAGAACTGATAACTTTTTGACATTTTACTGTTTATGTGTGATTACACAGAAATCAAATACTAATATACTTGGGAAAAATGATGTTGAGCTGAAGAGTACGCTCTATGGCTGTCCAGACAGGTAATTAATGAATGGGAAAGGTTCAGAAGGAAGAGGTAAAGACCTAATTGTGGTACTGTTCTGGCATTTCCTGGAGGGACCGATAGTAACCAAGAGAAATACTAATATACTTGGGAAAAATGATGTTGAGCTGAAGAGTACGCTCTATGGCTGTCCAGACAGGTAATTAATGAATGGGAAAGGTTCAGAAGGAAGAGGTAAAGACCTAATTGTGGTACTGTTCTGGCATTTCCTGGAGGGCCTGATAGTAACTAAGAGAAACTGCAGTCAGGATAGCCAGTGTCACAACTCAGTCCACCTAGTGCTGAGGTTCAGAAGGCATGATGATGTACCTCCACTCTTTCTTACATCTTCATGGTTTGGTGCTCAATTAAGCACAGGGATAATTTCACCATTTCCACCTCTACCTAAGAGAGATGTTCTGAACGACGATCTTCATCACTTCTCCAACTTGCTGTGTGGTCTTGCGGTTTGGAATGTAGGACAGCGGACATGAGCAGAAGAACATCTACCTCAAGCGGTTAGTGAACTGTAGGATGATCTTGCACAAGTAGTTATGAGCAGTAAGATGCAGTAACTGTGGTCATTTCCATAGTTTTAATTTTGGAGCTATATGTAATTAATATTTCAACAATTTATAATATCTGAATTAAATTTTAAGAAGGTATGTTTCATAAAGATGAGTCTGACAGCTATGGTAAGAACCATGAAGAAGGAAGAAATGCGTACAAATTATATACTGGAGAATTCCAGATGAACAGAGTAACGAGGAAACACAGACGTAGAAGGAAGTATAATAGCAAACATGTTGCGCAACATGTTACAATATATTAAAGTTACTGTCTGCTGGGCTGCTACGCCGTGTAGTCTGGTACATCGTTACCGATTCTTCGGAGGTATCTTTCGTCTGCATGTTAAGGCAAGAGCCAGTAGATTGTACAACTGCACTTACATGTATGTGCGCTGTCCTGTTCCCAGTCCTTCTCCTGCTGCTCGCTGGGGATGGCGCTGCTTCAGAACTGGGGCCCTTGCTTGAAGCAGAGCTGCGGCCCCTCTGTTGGGACAGTGGTCTGCTGGGTTGGCGATGTTCCGTTCTCTCTGGACGCCAGGCACCTGGTTCTTCTTCCAGCAGCGGTCTGTCTCTTGGATTGTATTTGCGACTGCCTCGTGTTGTCACACTCGCCTGCACTACATCTGCGCGCTGCAACAATGAAATTGTGATGATATGAACAAGAATAAATTAGCACTCTGGCAGATTTTAAGGGTCAGATTTTTGGAGGCAGATGTAGAAACCTTAAAATTGGCCTATCAAATCTGAAAACCACTTATATTCCCAACTCCATAAAAAGATTTTTCCTATACAAAACCCTGCAGTTTTGCGTAGCTTTCCTCGGTCCTTCCGGATAAATGCTGAGAAAGTAGACCACTATCGTTTTCTGATCGGTACCAACTTGTCCACTGACTCCCCCTTCCACTGCACTGAAAAATTATTATCCTTTGTAGATAACAGTAGACATAACAGCCTAATCGAACATCTAATGTTAACATTGTTATAAATCCACAACTTACGAGACCTAATGTCCACGTACAACGTGTCAATTTGAAAGATGAAGTCGAGTGGTTATGTACTCTAAAACATATTACCACCATCTACCTCCATATACTTCTCAGTTCACAATAAGTTCACATTTGATGCCAATTACATGTTATGCAGTTCAGAAGACGCTGTTAAACTAAGAAACAACAAATCCATCTTTCAGATGACATCGGAGGATTGACTGCAAGCATAGACAAACAAGGCAAACGGACATACATTATGCACTAACAATTCTACATGTACAGACTTGTAGAAAATTAAGTCACCTATTTCTCTCTGTCTATGGCTCTGCAGTCCTTTTGTTGGACATTGGTCGCTGTTTCAGTTTCTTAATCCTATACACAGTCGGTAAGACCCCTTGGACGGGGGATCAGCCCATCTCAAGGCCGCTACCTACACGCAGAACAACGCAAATACAGAACAAACCCACAAACATCCATGCCTTGACTGAAATTCGAACCCAAGACACCAGCTTTCGAGCGAACAAAGAGAGTTCATGTCTTAGGCCGCGCGGCCCCTGTGATCGGTTGTCACCTCTGCTGGAGCTTCGTGACGTGCAGCAGACACCAGAACATTCAGTGTGCACACGTTACGGCAATTAATTCCCCTGTCACCTCTGTCCTCTCGCTGCATGTTATACGTCGTCAGTGGCGGCTTGTATGGGAATGGGAATCGAAGTATTCAATTTGAACAGAGTCTTTTAAAGTATCGTCCAGTCACCTCTCTTCACGGTAATCAGTAGCGGCTCGTCAGGGATTCCATTGTACTCGATAATTTATGACTGCAATTCCTAACGTCAGTGGCGGCTTGGTATGGGAATGGGAATTGAAGTATTCAATTCGAACAGATTCTTTTAAAGTATCGTCCAGTCACCTCTCTTCACTGTAATCAGTGGCGGCTCGTCAGGAATTCCCTTGTACTCGATAATTTATGACTGCAATTCCTAACGTCAGTGGCGGCTCGTCAGAAATTCTGTTATATTTAGTGTTTTATAACCACTGTTTCATGTGTTATTATTACATTTTTGGAACTTTGTCCATCGTCCAGCTCTATCGACCGGGCCAAATTGAGTAGGTTTTTACCTGAGAACAGAGACAAAGTCCAGTCTCCGAAACGTTGTTTTTAATTTGAAAAACAGTAAGACGGATGATGTCCAAAAAGTCAATAATTGTATTAATATATCATTGTCACAAATTTTTATACCTTATTTACTGTTTAATGTACACGTCAGTTGTATGCCAGCTGAATCCAGTGGATAGCTCCGTAGTTGGGTGAATGAACTATTGATTAGTTAGTTTCGTTTTCTGTAGTTGGTTAGGTTCACATCATTTGCTAATTAGATGGTTACTTCACCTGTTGGTTGGTGTCAGAAAGAGAGAGAGAGAGAGGCGCGTAGACGGCAGTTTTTACTAGCTCTCAAGAAATCAGTCTGGCTTTGTGTTGTGACGTCACCAGCAACTCCTTCGCTTCTGATCGCCACAAAAACCGGCGGTCAGTTACGCAATTCGCTGCCCGCGCTTTCTCTAGTTGTCTTGCAGATTAGGAGGGTGGGGAGAGATTTACCTTGACACTATCCCCATAGCAACGGCTGCAACCGTTATACACCGGAATGTTCTGTGGTTTGTGTTCTGAACCACGCCCATTCGTTGCTCGTCACTATGCAACTTCGTGGCTGCAAGGCTTCTTCTTAAGGTATGCCATGACCTTAAAATCAATGTCTGCATTCTAGCAAACATCATCATAAACTGTAACACTATAACACGCATATGGAGGAAGTTACAACGAATTTATTATAAAATTATCTGTCTCATAAATATTAATTTCCTCCTCGTTGGTGTCTCCACCTTATCGTGGTGAGGGGGTTTGAGTGTGCCAAGGACCCTGAGAGCTATACCAGCGGTAGCGTAGCTACTGGCAGGGCCTCCCTTGCTGGACAGGTCAAAGGGTAGGCATCAGACGAAGAGAGACACAAAAAACCAAAAACTAATGACGGAAGCAGCGTCATCAGCAGCGACTTGAAGCACAGAGCAAATGATACTCGAGATTGTTCAAGTTCGTATAGCAACAGGCGTGACCAGAGTGGTTTGAACGGCTGTTGTACTGCGATGTGGAAAGCAAATGGAAAAACTACCACATTATCACTTTTCCTGGATAGTCTCTTTCTAAAAACAGAGATACCATATATGCGAGATGTTTCCTTTGGAGACAAAACAAACCGGAGGGGCGGATAGAAGTGCCCAGAAGACGAGGAAGAAGACGTAAGAAGATGCTGGATGAGTTTGGGGACAGAAGAGGATATTTTAATCGAAGGAGAAAGCTTGAGATTGTATTAAAAGGAAGAACTGTTATGGAAGAGACTGTGGACCTGTCGTCTGACAGATTACTGATGAATAAATGAATGAAATATTAATTTATAAAAAAAAAAAAGCCCTAATAAGTTTTCCACAGCATAGTTGAAAATATTCTGTTATATGAAGCTGACAGGTGCCACTGACTGCAATAGGAAGGAGTAAAATAAGGGCTGTTGAAGTGAATTATTTAACACGTCTTCAGGTGAGGAGAGAAAGTAGAGTGAGAATGAAAGGGTACAGGAAGTAATGGATGTTACTTCAGCAATGAAAAAACCTGACAGAGAGACTGCTGAAATGGGATATGTTCATATTGAACGAATACAGGAAAGATTATTGAAAACTGTGTTGTGCTGATCACTATAAGAAGAATCAGAAGTTGAGGGAGACCTACATATAAGTGAAAAATGTATGAAGTTTATTGTGGAAGATGAAAATGGAATGTGAAGACTGAGAGATTAGGTTACTGGGGGTGCTGAAAACGACAAACCCCTGAAGACACAACACCAAGAAAAAAGTGAACACGTCATTACAAATAATACATGTCACGTTATACACATGATAACTCTCGAATCAAAACTTCTAATTGTTCATTAGAAGTTTAGGGGTTCTGTATAATTTGGTGCGAGCAACACGGTAATAGATATTACTGGAGATTTTTGGATTTTGACTATTCACAAAATTTGGCTTATTGGCTCTTTTCACACTGAAACTTAAGAAAAGTAAACAGAACTCATGACAAACGAGTTTGCCGTATCTAATGCAGCCTCATTCTTGAAGTATTAACACAAATTCGCTCTCCTGTAGGAAGAGGTGACTTAAATCAGTTAAGTGTATACATTATCATCTCAAAAGTTTACAAACTTTCGATATAATTGTTACCTTCAGTTCTAGTTCATTAATCTCTGAGGTGTATAACTGAATCCGTTACTGACCACATATCAGTATAACTTGTGGCTTTAAAAGTCTCACATCTCGAAGCCAGCAACACAATGTATGAACTTTAGCTGTCCTTCAACCACAGTATGATTCTTAATATACAGACCCGCATTCTGTTTTAACTATAAATTTAGTGATACTTTCAAAGCTAGATTCCTCACTCCGAGGAAAGAATATGGTTAAACAATTTTCCGTGCTTAACGTAGTATAATACAATGGCATTAAATGGCTCCTGCCTCGCTTATTGTGCTATAATGTAATTTATATAGCAACAGGAGAGAGTGGGAAAGTGCTGGACACAAATGAAAGAGGCGAGTCGAAACAATGAACCAACGAGAATCTTCGTAAAAGCCAAAGTCGTCCCTGTATCTAAACTTAACTCCTCCCGCAGCAGTATTTGAGGACTGGAGGTAAAGCTCCATGATTAATAACCTCGTCCGTAGAAGTAAATAAGTGGTCACCTTCACACTACGGTCGCACCATCTGTGGGAATCAAACCCCAGCCAATAAATCCGTATACCGAACGGGCTGGAGTGGCAGTAACTCTATAGGCTAGACCGCGCCATAGCTCAAGCGGTTAGTCTCTGGCTTCCAACCGCGGCGGCCCGGGCTCAAACCCGGCTCTGGTCAAGTGGGATTTGTGGTGGACAAAGTGGTGGTGAGACGGGTTTTCTCTGAGTACTTCGGTTCCCCTACCAATCTTCATTCCACCAAATTCTCCATCATCATAATCACCCGGGGCAGGTACAGTAGGCCAATCAGTGGCCGTCGTGCCCAGTGGACCCAACTGGACTACCCCCCCCCCTCTATGCGAATTAAAAAAAAATAATTTAACTCTATAGGCTTGCATTGGCAAAGGTACTCGGTTGGGGCACCGGTTATCCAAACTTGTTTTACGATATTTTCTTCAGTTCCTCCAAGCCGATGCCTGGATAGTACGTCGATTAGGTCACGGTAGCAACCTTCTAGAATCTTTCTCGTTTGTCGATCATCTATCGCCCTCCCAGTCGACTGTATGTGCTCTAGTTACTGACAGTGCCGCAAAATAACACTAAGTCACTAAAAGTGACTTGACCAATCAGCAAAGTCTGTTTGTTCACTAATGTTGTTAGAGCACATAAATGAAGACCAAAGCCAGCTCAATGTGTAGCACTGAGCAGAACACAAGAAATAAACGAACTAAAATATTTTGTAAAAAGATATTATCAGGAAAACTGAAATGCAGATGAGTGAATAATAACGAAATCAATTCCGATCGGGGGCAAGAGAAATATCACGTGCCAATGTATACTCTCCACTACGTTCAAACTGTCCCTT